ATCTGTTAAGTCCAGTGCTAATGAAGTATGTGTTGGATGAGCAGACAGGGAGCTGGATCAAAAACTGGCTGGACAGCCAGACCCAGAGAATGCATACTGGCCTGCAAGCTAGCTGGAGGCTAGCTAAACAGCACTGTACCCCAATGGTCAGTGCCAGATCCAATCCTATTTACTGTCCTCATTAGTGATCCATGCAATGGGCAGAATGTACCCTCAGCAAGTTTGCAGCAGACACAAAACTGGGAGGAGCCCTCTAAGTTCAACAAGGAGAACTCCAGAGTCCTGTTTGTGGGAAGGATCAGCCCCAGGCACCAGGACAGGCTGAGGGGAATCAAGCTGGAAAGCTGGTCTGTGGAACAGGGCCTGAGGATCCTAGTGGAAACCAAACTGAATGCGAGTTAGCAACATGCCCTTGCATCAAAGAAGGCTAGCGGTATGATGGATCATATTAGACAAAGTATCTCCACCAGGTCAGAAGTGCTCCCTCTCACTGTGTCAAGTGCTGTGCTCACCAGTGCAAGGGAGATGTGGGCACTCTGAAGAACATCCAACAGAGGGCTGCCAAGATGAGGAAAGGACTGGAGCATCTTTTCTGCGAGGAAAGACTGTGAGAGCTGGGACTGTTCAGCTTTCAGAAGAGGAGGCTCCAGGGGATCTTACAAACGTCCGTAAGTGCCTGAGGGGAGGATGCAGAGAGGTTGTAGCCAGGCTCTGTTAGTGATGCCCAGAACTAGGACAAGAGGCAGAGGATACATGCTGGAACACAGGAGTTTCCATGTAAACATCAGAAATGTGACTGAGCACTGGCACAGGTTCTCCAGAGAGGTCATGGAGTCTCTCTCTTTGGAAATATACATTGTCCTGGACATGGCCCTGGGCACCCTGCTCTGGGTGTCCCTGCCTGAGGTGAGAATTGGGCCAGATGGACACAGAGGTCCCTGCCAACCTCAGCTCTGTGGCTCTAAGAAAGAATTAGGAAGATACTCTGAGCAGTTCATGCACAGTTCCCATAAGCTGGAAAGAGGATAAACCTACTCTGGCAATTGGGAAAAAAAGAGAACATAGGTTGAATTCAGCTGAAAAACTGGATATAATACTTAACGAAAGGTGTAATTATATCTCTCAAAGACAACTGCCCAAATATTTTTGACAGCCAAATTAAAAGGTTCTTAAATGAAACTGCATGCAGGATTAAGATACTAACCTGTTCTTTATTCTCTCTGCACAAGCAAGTCAGAGTAATTTTTTCTTAAGAATATTAAAAAAAAAAAAAAAAAATAAATCAATCAGCTTCACATGTAACTTTAAAGAAGAAAACTGGCCATTTAATATAAACTAACAGGTTGATACATGTGAATCATAGAACTTTTAGACATCCCATTTTTTTTTAACCCTTAATTTGCTATTAGTAGTTAACTTTCTCTGCACAAAACACGATAACACATCTATTTCACATATGCAGTATATAAAAAGTAGTGCTGCTACAGAAATTACCAATTAGAATTTTCTAGCTTCTCTTAAATGCTACACTGCACTGTGTATCTATGGTATAGATCTAGCCCAATCCAGACAGACTACTATTTGATTATTTGCACGTACTGTTTTGCATATAAATTTGAAAAGTCTTATTAACTTGAGTTATCCCTACTCAGATTCCCAGGGTGCAACTCATTTAACTAAAAGAGGATTCAGACATTTCATCAAGTGTGTCTTCCCTTGTGATCTTCCTTCCTGAATTAGACTGGCTCAGCAAAAATGATTTTTAATACTACCAATGTCTTGACACTACTAACAATGTCTAATCTAGACTTAGTGTCTCAGCAGTCAGATTTGATTCAATATACCAAACAGCATTTAAAAGGTGACAGTAGTTACATAGCAAACACTCCAACAGACAGCTATTTTTATTAAGATTTCTATCATGACTAGCTTTATGCAAAAAACTGACATGGAGAATTTACCACATCTTTTAAAAAGTATGTCTTTATACATACCACATAATCCTGTTGTAGATGCAAGATAGAGAAGGACTGAGATTCTCTCTGCAGCTGGTTTAATACATTTAAAGCAAAACAAACCAGAAGCATCTTGGCCTATGTAATGAAGTTTGGAAAACCACTCCAAGTAATTAGCATTTCATTATATCTGTTTAATAAGAGTTAATTTAAATTCAATCAAGCGATATATGCCTCATCCCCATAAAGAAATTGCACTGAAAATAGATCTGCTACCAGAGGAGGTTGGAAACAGCCTCTTCTTCCACAGAAACTAGGATGAATTTCCCCACGTCCCCTGGTGGTTCCTCAGCACAATGGATACCTAGAGCATTCTGAGAGCCCCCTTCCTTTGTCCTGCACAGGAATCCATTTGGAAAGACAGTACAGCTTAGTGAAGTCTCAGGCTTGATTTCAAATAAAGTATTAAGTTGTACAGGAATATATTTTCTGATGTAATAGAAATGAACGCTACATGCACTGGATGCTTTCTGAAGTCCTGCTCAGTTCTTAGCCCCTTACTCCAGGTAATACACAGGTCAGTTGTCAGCATGCTGCCTAAAATCAGGGACACTAATTTGCATGCTTGCTCCTTAATTTCTGCATAAGAGATGAACATCATGATATGTAAAAGTTATCCCATTAAAACAGCAGGAACTATTCATACATACATGCATTAAGAACATATGTGCAAGTCCTTGCAGGATTAAAAAAGGCAGGAAGCAACAGGTTGGGGCAGCAAACATGGGTGGAAGGGCAAATAAAATGACAGAAAGACGTGGTTATGTGAGCAGCTCACAAATCTGATTATATTTTAAGACCTGATTGTAAAGTTTGCCCTTGCTTTAAACAAATATGATGCTTGTCATAGCTCCTTCCTGAAGCATTTGCAGCCCCAGTGCATCATCAAGAACTCACTAACTTTAAATCACGACACCTGAGCACTCATACAACATTCCAGATTATGTCACTGCTAAGTTTTTACTGAACATTGGTTAGCACAGTTTGTCATGCTTTTAATGAACATGCCATGCTCACCTTATGTGAGGAGCACAGAGGCAGTGAAGAACCAGTACAGAGCCTAAAACTCAACTGGTCCTCATTAAAAGAAGCATACAGTCAATTCACCAGCAAGAGAAATGAGTGAGAGTTCAGCTTGAATGTGCATTTATAGTGGAGAGTATAATGCAGTCTGTGTAACAACTCCTGTAAACGATGCTTTGTCAGTAATGATCAACTTTCATTAAGAGCTCTATTTTGAAGAACTAAGTTCAGGAACTAAAGAGGAAGAAAAATTCATAGCTGCAGAACAGCCTTTTGTGTACAGTTAAGTAAATTAAGACATTGACCAAATATTCCTCCCCCACACAGGTTTTTTTTTTAAATTTAAAAAAAAAAAAAGATGAAATATTACTCTACTGATAGTAGAACAAACTGTGCATGGATTGTGCAAAAACAACATGGTCCTCCTGAAGAAACAGAGACGATGCTCTGCTAGCATACATGTATCATCCCTCCCAAAGTATAAAAGAGAATATTCTTACTTGCAAAATAAATAGGCTGGTTGTTCAGCAGAGCCACATCCAGAACATGAATGTAATACCGAAACATTTGGTTTACTACAAAAAATATGGAACGCTCCACTATCCAATCAGAGGAGATAAAAATAAAACCATAACTGTCCAATTTCAAAACAGTTTCTAATAGTAAATCTCTGTGTGCAAGATTAATTGGCACTGTTGCACTAATTTGTAAGGCTTCAGTTGTACAGACGAACCATCGCCACAGATGGGAGAAGCTGCCAGAAAGCTGACCCTAAAAATAGGAAGATAAAAAATAACCCAAACTCTCTGAATATCAGCCAGTTATGCACTTTATTCAAGCAAGGCCTCAGTTTACGAGGAATCACGGGAGGACCCAGCAGCAAACTGCTCATCTCATGGCCTCGCAGTATGATATCTCACTCTTGCGAACATTCACCACGAATTTAAAATGAATCCTCAGGGGAAATGGAAAGGTATGCTGATATGCACTCTGCCATGGGAAACGCGTATGGCAGTGGAGCTAATTTTATCCTCTGCAGCTGAAAACCCCATGTCTTCCAACAGATTGCTGGGGAGGTGGAGTTTCTGTGCATACTTTTCTCTCTGAGGTTGGCCTCTTCCTCAGTTTATATTACCATTATGCTATTTGCTTTCTTACGTGTCAGCAAACTCAGTCTCCTTGCACATACACCAATCCCTCTGGAAACACGGTTTTAGCTTCTGATGACAAGTCTATGGAAAAGCAGCCTCGTGTTTACCCTCGGCACATCGGTATGGAAATAACTGCCTTGGTGGCCACCAAGAGCAGGGAGCAGCTGAGAGTCAGCACTTCCCTGGGACGGGACACACGAGTTCATGGCCAGAAGCATCACGGTCACGGCCAGCCCCTGGATGCTCATTTCATTGCGAGTGGCACATGGAGGACAAACTTCTTTTACATCAAGGGGGTTATTTTTTTTTCTTTCCATAGATGAAAAGGTAAAAGGGAAAAAAGCACAGCGAGCACAGCCGTGCCGATACCCCGCGTAAGCCTCTCTTTCCCAAGCGCGGCAATACGTCCCTGGGACCCTCGTGCCGTTACGTGCGCAAGAGAAGCCCCGACACCACCACAGCTCCGCCGCGGACACGGACTCGGCCGGCGCGGCACCGCTCCGCGCCGGCGTATCTCCGCGGAGGAAGCCGCGCCCTGCTGCGCCGTGCCGCCCTCTCGGCGGCGCCCCCCCCCCCCCGAGCAGCTGCCCCGCGCAGCACGGCGGACGCTTCTCACCTGTTGATTTTCAGGGCAAACGCCCTCCGCATGGCGACTTTACCCGCCGCTGACCGGAGGGC